ATTAACCTCAGCATGTTTTTGGACTGTGTGGGAGGAAGCCGGAGAACCTGGAGAGAACCCACGCTGCACGGGGAGAACATGGAGACTCCACACAGAAAGATTCCGGTGCCCCCACCGGGACGCGAACCGGCAACCTTCTTGCTGCGAGGCAACAGTGCTACCAACTGCGCCTTGACCTAATTCCTTTGTTACTATTTTTCTTATTTTGTCAGACTTGTCTCTGACTGGCACCCCACCTTATTAATTCTGGTCAAACCCGCTACAACCTTCACCTAGACGACTCACTGGGGGCTAGTCAAGCCTCTTGTGGCTCTTCTCCCCATAGCCACCTTGAAGCAACTTCTGCTGTCTCAATGACCAACTTGTCTTCCACTAACTTCTTGCCCCCTTCCTCTCAGTGGCCCCCTCATTGCAGTTCACACAGGAAATTACAAATTGTAAGGGAATGCTCAATTTGGAGGTACCTCAGTTGTTTCCCAGGTTGACTTTAAGCTCCAAGTGTTGTGCCGTTGTCAGCAGACAATCCCAGTTAAGGAAAAACACTAACAGATACTACAATAAAAAGACGTATGGTAGTTCACATGATGCATTTTAGTGCCCATTACTCATTATAAAAAGCAAATATCTGACTGGATCCAGCCGCTGTTTGTAAGCACAGCTGACCTGCCTGGCTTTGCTGGATATATGGTTTATGTTTTTCAATTTGACTGCTACACATATATGGAGCAATGGATATGTGCTTCTGTGACCAGTTAATCACTAACTTCAATACAACACCTGGACGGCACAATCATCACTGCATCAGCACAACGGCCGTATATGGTCACTGTTACAGCTTTTCAAAGCCACTGTGTCACAGCCAGAATCACAACAAGCAAAGCCAAGCTAAGGCTACGGCGGTGATCACAGTGACAGCTATGTCACCCCAAGACTGACAATCTCATAATCAGATCTACAGTTTGTCTTGAACCAGCTCCTTCGTTTTCTTTTTAACTGCAACAGTACAGACACAACTGAAGATACAAAGACACAAGTAGTGACAGTTATAGTATAATAATACAGCCCAGGGGTGTCAAACTCTGGTCCGCGAGACAATGCCAAATGACTACTAGAGCTGCCCCCGGTATTATACTGTACAGCGCATTCACCGCTAATACTACAAATCCCATAATGCCCTGTTGTTGTTTTGGCGCGTCAATCAGGACAGGACCCAGAAACTCCCTCTCCTCTGTGACCGTTGGCATAGTGACTTCACACTACAACTGTCACTGTGCTACCCCTTCCCAAAAATGGCGAAAAGAAAGGCAGAAAACAGGAGCTTTCTGGACAGGTGGGAGGCAGACTATCTGTTTACATATGTAAAAGACAGACCTGTTTGTCTTGTTTGTGGAGTCAACGTGGCTGTTACAAAGGAGTACAACATTAGACGGCACTATGAAACGAAACACCATGACAAATACAAGGACCTGAACATGACTCAAAGGAGCCAGAAAGTAGAGGAGATGAAAAAAAGTTTGGTTTCACAACAGAATATGTTCAAAAAAGCCACATCACAAAGTGAGGCTGCTGTAAAGGTTAGTGATATTGTGGCAGGAGAGATCGCAAAATCAGCCCGGCCCTTCAATGAGGGAGAGTTTGTGAAGAAGTGCATGATGAAAGTTTGTGACCTCGTATGGCCAGAGAAAAAGCAAGCATTTTCCAACGTGAGCCTGAGCAGGAACACAATAGCTAATCGCACATGTGATCTTGCCAACAATCTGTATGACCAGCTGATGGAAAAGGGAAAAGATTTCGTTGCGTTCTCCCTCGCTGCTGATGAGAGCAGCGATGCATCTGATACTGCTCAACTGTCAGTCTTCATCCGTGGAGTGGACTCAAATCTGTGTGTTACGGAGGAGCTATTGGGATGGCACAACCATGGGAAAGGAAATCTTTGAGGAGGTTTCCAAATGTGCAACTGAAATGAAGCTGCCGTGGGACAAACTCGTTAGATTAACGACAGATGGTGCGCCAGCAATGTGCGGTAAAAAGAGCGGACTGGTGGGCAGGGTTCGGGAGAAGATGCGGGAAGAGAACTGTGCAGGTGAGCTCACTGTTTACCACTGCATTATACATCAGGAATCACTGTGTGCCAAAGCCCTAAAGATGGAACATGTTATGACCACAGTAACACAGGTAGTTAACTTTGTAAGAGCCAAAGGTCTGAATCACCGCCAGTTTAAATCTTTTCTGGAGGAGTGTGGTTCGGAATACGCAGAGGTTCCGTAGCATACAGAAGTGAGATGGCTAAGCAGAGTAAAAGTACTGAACAGATATTTCGAGTTCGGTGAGGAAATATGTCAGTTCCTGGAAACCAAAAGGAAGGATACAGCAGAGCTCCGCAAGCAAAAGTTTCTCTGTGACATCTCGAGCCATCTCGATGCGCTGAACCTGCAGCTTCAGGGGCGGGGGCGCATCATCACAGACATGTACGCTGCAGTGAGGGCCTTTAAAACTAAACTGTGCCTGTGGGAGAATCAGATGCTGCAAAGAAACCTTGGCCATTTTCCCTGCTGTCAAACCATAAACACGCAGATCTCTACCGCCATGTTGCCATGCGCACATTTTGCTGAAAAACTCAGCGTACTCGGCGCTGACTTTAGCCGGCGATTTACCAACTTTGATGTCCAGAAATGGAGGTTTGAACTGCTTAGTAATCCCTTTGCAATTGATGTGGAAAATGCACCAACCAACATCCAAATGGAACTGATTGAACTCCAGTGCAACGACACGCTGAAGTCAAAGTATGATGCTGTAGGCGCCGCACAGTTTCCACAGTTCATACCTGACACAATGCCTCAGCTCCGCACCCAAGCTGCTCAGATGCTCTCCATGTTCGGCAGCACTTACCTGTGTGAGCAACTTTTCTCCACGATGAAGATGACCAAAACATCTCTCAGGAGACGTCTGACTGATGAACACCTTTGCTCGATACTGAGGATTTCTTCAGCTCAGAGCCTGAGCCCAGACATTGATCAACTAGCATCCAAGAAGAGATGCCAGGTATCTGGCTTGGGCACATCAGAGTAGATCAGTGTGTAGCAAACTGAGCAATAATTAACATTTTCTTTATGCACTTTTTCTTGCTATTCCAAGGCATGGGCTTGAATGGTTGATTTATTTATTATTATTTAATTTTAAAAATTATTAGCCAGTGTAAAAATGTATTTTGATATTTAAATCAGAAGGCTGTGAATAGAAAATAATTTTATTTAAATTTTATTTAATAAATGAATGCCATTGATGTGTTTTTTTATTTATGATTTGATTTTTCATGTCTCCACTATTAAGTTATATATAATGTCTGGTAATCAGCGTTGCTTGTTCCATATTCAATGTTAAAGCAAAATTTATTTCGGTCCATATTAAAAGGTTCATTTGTTCAATGTTGGCCCGTGACTTTGTTCAGGTTTTAAATTTTGGCCCACTGTGTTTTTGAGATTGACACCCCTGCCTTAGCCTTTCTTTATGGATGAGCTGTAATGTAAAGGTTATTGAGAGGCAAAAGTAGTCCTCAATAATAAAAAATCCTCGCCATGACCCTTCGGAGGCTGAGTAAAAAGACATTTCAAACAAAGCAAATGCAAAGCACTTTGTTGAAGGGTATATTGAGTTTGTACACATTTACAACTTTAAGCAAAAGAAAAGTTTCGTTTAAAATTATTGTGGCTTTTTCACTGGCGATATACTGACATTTATCACATTAAAATGTACCTTAACAGTTTTTTTATTTTGTTTTTTTTTTTTTGCTACCATTGTGTGGCTCAGTGTTGGGATCAGTATTAATCAGGGTCAGGTCCTAAAGAAAGTTTAAATTATTACAAATTAAGCATTGCTCCATGATTCACTAATATAGTATCTCCCAATGGCTTCTTTCGTAATTAATTACCTGCTATACAGTTGTGGATTAGGACTCCTTGTGCAGATTATACCCTTTTTTGACAGCTTTGAATTCTAGTGTTAAATAAAGACTCATTGATATAAACCAGGCTCAATTGCTTTCCCTACTACCCGAATGCTCAGACCTGAATTTTAGAATTTTCTTTTATTTCCCTTGGATTTTTACAGCTGAAATCAGTTAGCTGAGTTTAAACTATGTCAGTAGATTAGATTTAGACTGAATTTTTTTCTCCCTTTTTTATTTTTATTTTTTGATTTCCACAAATTGAAAAGAGGGGGATTCAGACAAATGACTAGTTAATGATATTAAATCTGTAGTATTTAAGTGTTAACATATATGAATAGTGTTAGTTTCCATTGCTCAACTTGATATTTCAAATCACAGAGATTATATTTTTCTGGAGTGCAACAATGCTGTGAACATTATTTATTCCCCACAGTGCTAATCACTGTGAGACAATTTGTAAAATAAGCTAACTGATTTCTTATTAAGCAGAGGCACAGGAAGCAATAAACGCAGGTGTTTTCAACAGGGAGCAGTTGGCAGGCAGAACAGCATAGCATCTGAGTGATGGTTCTGCGAAGAGCCAGTTGATCAGGGGTCTGTATCAGAAAGGGAGGTAACTTGTTACGGACTGGTTCAGAGACTCAAGTGCAAGGCAACAAATCACGACATGCAGGTTGATAAAACAAAAAGCTTTATTTTACACACTGAAACAAAGTACAAACTCAACAATTGCTGGCAGGGCAAACTATGTCCGCTAGTGGTCAGACTGAGTAAATATAATACAAAAGACACGAACCCGAGTTCGGTACAACCAAGTCAGGAACTAGAAGCAGACGGGGCACAAAACGCACAGTCGAATGTAAACTAAGAGAGAAGCAAAACAGGAAGCACACTATAGGGTGTTAGCGAGGCTAAGTGACTAACGTAATAAGTAAACTGGCAGACAACTGCTAAAACCAGGGTTAGCGCTAAATACGGACAGGCGAGAAAACAAACACTAAAGAGGCTGGTAGGCTAATGAATCTGGCAAACAGAATGCTAGGCTTTAACAGACCTGATGGGAGCCGAACGAGGAGAGAGGGGAAGCAGGGAGTGGGGTTGGTAATGGAGTCAGGGAGGGGAAGAAGGTTGGCGTCGCAGACACAGCGGTGGGAAGGCGGGTGGAGACCAGTGGCAGACGCCGGGGGAACCATGGAGTGGAAGGCGAGCAGAGCAGATGCCGGTTGGTGGACAGAGCCATGGCTGATGAGGGGCGTCGGGACGGACGGACTGAAGAGAACGGACAGGTGGCAGGCAGGTGAGAGAGGATCCGGTTCCTTGTGGCAGGAGTCGCCGGCTGACAGAGTGGCTTGGCGGTGGATCCGGACTGCAGACGGAGAAAACAGGATTAGTTTACGATCGACAGGAAAACAGCTGAGAATAAACAAGCGAGTCAGGACTGACTGAAGACTGTTTACGGTCCGGCGACGAGTTTTGGACTGAGCGCAGCTTAAATGCTGGTCTGTAGAGGAGGCACAGCTGCTGCCAACACACGCCTGCGTCATCAGCAGATTGGACTCATCTGCCCATTCTCTTCAGTCACTGCACCAGCACACGCCCACCTGAATGGAGAGGGAAAGGGAGAGCGAGGAAGGAGGAGAGGGAGGAAGAGAGAGAGGACTGCCACTACTTGGCCCTGGCGGCAGCAGGCGTGACATAACTCAAACCAGAGGAAGAGGGGTAAATCTAGCCTGTTTCACAGAGAGAGCTAATGTTGTTTATTGTGTCGTGATGATGTGAAGATGCTGAAGAAATTCACCGCTGATGTATAAAAAAGTTTATTCAAGCAAGTACAATGTCTCAGACGTCTGTGAGAGGATTCGAAGCCAAAAAGAATCACCCTGCAGAATAGACAAAACCACTGGCTTATATAGGGGAGTTTTTTTTTTAAAAAGAAGAACCAATAATTCAAACCATGTTATGGTCAACCCCCCAACTTTAGGCTATGGGGCGACTCCCTTCATTGATCTTTGACCTGTTCAACTTATCAAAACATTTCAGACTACTGGGAGTACTGTGTCAGACACCACATATTTTTCTCCTTCAAGACTATGCAGAGTCTTGAAAAATAAAAAAGTTACACATACATTTTACACATGTAAAAAAATAACTTCCTCCAATGTATGCGTACTGCTATAGCATAATCTTAACATTGCAGCAAATTTGTGGAGTGTGAGAGCGAAAAACCCATCAAGCAGCCATCATACCTGAAGTTTCCATCAAACAATCTAGACGGCAAAATTCTCTCATGGTTCCTCTGCCCTTGCCAACCACATATGATACTCCAATCCAATTAGAAAAAGGAGGAATTTCCTTTAAACATTGATATAAAGATATACTTTAAGCAAATACATATAGAAACCTCGGAAAATAAAATCAAACAATGTCCAAATTCAGGCTGGCCGACCCATCGCACCTTCCAGTGGACCTGTCCCTGCCTAGCCCCAATATCCCTAGGCACCGAAGAAGAAAAAACATCTGAGGTTCCTGTGTATTTACCCCATACAAAAACACAATACTCCAAGGAAAATATTACAAAAGTTAAATATTATACAGCAATAAAATCTAATATAGCAAAAACCATCCATCCATCCATCCATTATCTATACACTGCTTAATCCTCACAGGGGTCGCGAGGGGCTGGAGCCTATCCCAGCCGACTTAGGGCGAAGGCAGGGGACACCCTGGACAGGTCGCCAGTCTATCACAGGGCTACACCTAGAGACAGACAACCAAGAACATTCACATTCACACCTACGGAAAATTTAGAATCACCAATTAACCTCAACATGTTTTTGGACTTGTGGGAGGAAGCCGGAGAACCCGGAGAGAACCCACGCTGCACGGGGAGAACATGCAAACTCCACGCACCGGGACGCAAACCGGCAACCTTCTAGCTGCGAGGCAACAGTGGTAACCAACTGCGCCACCTTGCAGCCCCAGCAAAAACCAATAAAATAAAATATATGTATATAAAAGGAAACATAAAATAAATCATACTGCAAAGGAGAACATAAAATGAATCCTACTTCAGCTCCTCAGCAGTGTCGACTCCTTGTGTAGTGTTGATGGTATTCTTAACCTGCACAGTCCTTGTTCATGTCCATTTGGTCAGTTGTCATTGTCCATTGTTGAATGTCTGAATTCCTTCAGAACATCAGGGTTTCTGTACAACCAGTAACCCTCACAGTGGTCCTCACCCAATCTCATCCTAGGAGGAAAAGAAAAGAAAACACCAGTATCTTTGCAAAAACAAAACGCAAATTAAACATCATGCAAAGTAAACATCATGCAAATTAAACATCATTCTAAACACACAAACATTCTAAGTTATAATCACCTTCTCTATTTCCCCCCATTAAATTCTACAATAGGACCCAAAAATTAGCTAAATAATATCAGAAAATGTTAAAATTATAACAAAAGTAAATAGCAAAATGGATATTTCTCCAGCAGTCATCATCATTGTCAGTCCCATGTAGTAATGGCAACTAAACCTGATCTCCAGGCTCCAACCCATCTCAAGATCATAACTTTCGCAAAGGTCAACAACACTGTACAAAAAGAGCCTATCCCAGCTGACTTAGGGCGAAGGCAGGGGACATCCTGGACAGGTCGCCAGTCTATTGCAGGGTTACACTTAGAGACAGACAACCATGCACACTCACATTCACACCTACGGACAATTTAGAATCACCAATTACCCACAACATGTTTTTTTGACTGTGTGGGAGGAAGCCGGAGAACCAGAGAGAACCCACGCTGCACAAAAAGATCCCAGTGCCCCCACCGGGACGCAAACCAGCGACCTTCTTGCTGGGAAGCAACAGTGCTACCAACTGCGCCACTTTGCAGCCCTATTATCAATATGGTCTGCCAAAAATCTCACACCATACCATGGAAATAATCTTATACCCCACTTCTCTCCTATACTTATCCTCTAATGATAAGACTCCAAATTATGAAACTGTGCCATTTTTCTTTTCTTCCTACTCTTAGGAATAGCATTTGATTGATCCTCTTTAGGTGCTTGTCCCTTCTGAATGGCCAAAACCTCATACTTGGTCTCGCACCATTACAGTCTTACTCTGCTTTTGAAAAGGTAAATAAAAAGTAACTTTATACAAAACCTCAACATCGTTATGGTTACGTTTACCCAACTGCATCATATACCTATCACAATCTGCCACACCCATAAACATCCCTGGTCCATTATGAGTATCATTTGAGCAAAAACAGTCTTCTGCTCTCACTGACTTCACTTCCATTGCATCAGGAAACACTGTCAACACATTATCATTCTGATCAAGAAAATTCACATATGGCAAATCCCGTAACCAAGAACAAGTAGGTCCAGGTCTAAACTGATTTACTACCAAAGCCATCATTTGAGGGTTGCTGCTGATACAGCAGCCATGATAGTGCAGAAGATTGACATATAACAGATAATGGTTCTGGGACTGCCTCTAAAATTGAGGGCCATGTGCTGGGTGATGAAACTTTCACTACACATGGACAATTACATTTTCTAACTGATCTTACAAAATGGGGCTGCAGGGTGGCGCAGTTGGTAGCACTGTTGCCTCACAGCAAGAAGGTTGCCGGTTCATATTTCTTCGATAGTGATGTCCCTGACAGATCCAAAACCCTACCATGGCTATCTTCCCACTAGACTCTAAACTCCCCTTCACCACTGTTATCTCCTGTTCACTGACATGGAAGCTGAACTGATTTCCCTACAGTCACTTCAGCCCTAATCCTCGTAGCATTTTAGTCTGGACCTCTTTCGAATTGGTCTTAGACTCCTTCATTCAACTGAATCTCCAAATTCCTGTCCAACAGACTCACAGCCCTTTTCAGTCTCTGACGTTTCACATTCCACGGGAAAGGACTGCGCTGTACCTGGGACTTATTGGAACTCAATGTGACTAAATTTCCCTTCCTGTCCACTGACTGCAGAGTCATTCCTAGCATTATCAGAAGCATGCACGGAACCAACATCACCTCTCCTGCACCTTCTTCCACATCTCCTTCTGGCTGTCTGGAGCCTTCATCATTTCAGCTCTGTGAGCGTGGCGCCTCTTCCCTTGGCGCCTCTTCCCTTGGCGCTTTTACACAATGAGACAAATGATACCACATTGGAGACCCTTTGACTTGAACTGCAGTTCCAGTACTGCAAACAACTTCAAATGATCACTCACAATGTTTGTTATACCACTTCCTTCTAAACACCTTCACGAACACCTTGTCTCCAGGTAACACTGTGCTTCTCTTTCGCTCATCAAGTCTCTCCTGTCCCTCTTCCTGTCGTTGCCTGGCAGAAACATACGTGGATATTCCTTAATGCCGAGTAGCCATATAGGTAACATACGCTCACATATCATCTTCCAAAAGAGCCAGGCTTAGACCCTTTCCAGTCGTATGCAAACAAGGCGTTGGCACTAGTCTTCCCGTAATCAATTCATGAGATGTCATGTGCAAATCACACAACTCACTTGAGCGACACACCATTAGCGCCAGTGGAAACGCCGCTATCCAATTTAGACCTGTGTATTAACAGATTTTGACAATGCGATTTTTCAACAAAACATAAATTTTTTTCACAAATCTCCTGACTTTGCAGATGATAGACTGATCCAAGACGCTGTTTAATTCCCAGTTTCTGCAAAATCAGTCTCACCGTTTTATCCACGAACTCCTTCTCATTGTCTTAGGATATTCGATCTGGAAGTCCACACCTACTTATAACTTTTCTGCACAAAAACTTGGCAACAGACTGAGCGTCCTTCCGCTTGGTTGGACAGGCCTCAGGCCATCATGAAAATCTGTCCACAACAACCAGCATATATCTCTTACCTCCAACTGGTTTTATCATGTCAACAAAGTCCACAACCAACTCACGCATAGGACCCCTCAGAGTCGGAATGTGACCAGGTAGAACCATCACACCCCTCCGAACATTATTCTTCAGACAGATAGCACACCTGCCGATGACATAATCGATTTGTCCCAACAAGTGTGATGCCCAAAAACCATATTCGTTGTGATCTTTCTTCGGACCTCCCCTCTTGCAACATGAGCCAAACCATGAGCTTCCTGAATCATCAGACCTAACAGGTCTGACGGTGCTACTATCAGCCCCTCATGGTTTCTCCAAAGACCAAAGACCTTGTGTGGCACCTCGGTACAACCACAACTGTTTGTTCATTGCAGAAGCAGCTCCCTGTGTTACGCCCTCTGCTGGCAGTTAGTGGCAGTTCTCCCTCTTCTCTCCTGGTGAGTGGCGGCGTGGCATGACAGGTGAAAGCAGTTCAATCAGCTGATGAGATCAGCTGGGAGTGATTACCTGCAGCATCTCCTCAAACGGATAAAAGCCACTTCCAGACCATGACACGGCGCCAGATCGTAAAAACAGCCTTGTTAGTACTGTCTAATCTTCTCAGCTCTTCCGTCTGAGTGTTGGCCGCAGTCTAACCATTTTCTCTATTCCAGTTGGAGCGCCTGTCTTCCTCCACCATAACCCGGACAACCCATCTATCGGACTCCTCCAGCTTTTCACCTGTCTGCCGCTGCCGCCCCGCCACCGCTGCCACTCACCTCTCTCCGTCTGCTTTGAACTCCTCTTCCTCGCTTCCAGCCCCGGTTGAGTAATGTGCGTCGCGACACCAGTTTAAATGACGGTGTTGCTATTTGTTAGTTAGCTTGTTTGTTAGTTAGCTTGTTTGTCAGTGAGTGTTTCTGTCCGTTAGTTATCCTGACTTTGTATTTTAGTCAGTTATTTGCTAGCGCTTCGCTATAGTTTTTAGTTCAGTCTGAATCCTTTCCAAAGCTCGGTTTACCTTGTTCTGGTTTGTGACCTTAGTTCCTGTAAGCGCATTTTTTGTTATTAAAGAACATATCTCCTGACTCTGTCGTTGTGCCTTGTTGTCCCGCACCTGAGTCTTTGTCCTGTTCGTAACATTCCTGCATTAGAATCACATCCCGGAGCGTGATTTTGTCTTCCAAGTCAACTTCATAAGTGACCAAAAGTACTTTACCCAGTTTGTCTGCTCCTGTGACTGCCTTTGCAGCCTCATCTGCCGCTTTGATTCCTTATGAAACCCTTGACGCATCCATTCTATGTGCTGCGCATTTGGCTATCGCTAGTTCTTTAGGCTTCATCACAGCATGCAACAATTTCATTATCTGAGCATGATGTTGTATTGAGGAACCATCTGTTTTCTTAAACCCTCAATTTTTCCACACTGCTCCAAACAAGTGACACGCATTATGTGCATATGCGGAATCTGTATATATTGTCACCGCTTATCTTCCGCCAATAAACACGCTACAGTTAATCCAACAAGTTCAGCAAGCTGTGTAGACGCAGGCTGTGGTATTACTTCAGCCTTCTCAACAACAAATTCAGTTCCCCAGGCTTTTACCACTGCATAGCCAGCACTCAATTTATCCCCTACAAAATTCCAAGAACCATCAGTCCAATACTCCAAGTCTGCCTCATGCAATGGGAGAGCTTGCAAATCTGATCTAAGCCTTGAGTACTTCTCTGCTTCTTGAACACAGTCATGTGGTTCACCATCCTCTGGAGCTGGCAAGTTCTCAGCTAGATTCACTGTGGCACACCTCACTACAGTAACATCCTCCTGCTCTGAAAGCCTATGATAATATCTAAGCCTAGACATAGTCAACGTGTATTTGCTGTAGTTCAAAAGATTTCTTAGGCTATGATGGGTAAGAATTGTCACCGGATAACCCATCATGACAGATGATGCCTTCTCATACATCAAGGAAACTCCCACCATTTCTCTGTAACACAGTGGTAGCCCCAGCTCCACTTCTGAATAGGCAGTGGAGTAATAAGAAATAGGTTGAGAACTGATCCCCATACCTGTCGGCTGACAAAGAACTGCACATGCATATTTACCCCCAGCGGAAGTAGAAACATACAACAAGAAATTCTTCAAGTAGTCTGGAAACGCTAAAGCTGGAGCCTCTTGTAACCTCTGTTTGATCGTCTCAAATGCCAAAAGGCCATCCTGTGTCCAGGAAAGATTACAATAAAGTTGAGCATTCTCAGTGTCTTTAATCATAGCCCTCAAAGGCCTCGTTAAACTAGCATAATCATGTCGGCATGCATACTGTGATCGCAGCGATGGACAATCTGACTATTGTAACTGAGAGGCCAGCAGTGGGGAATGTATCTGTAGCTTTGTGCAGCTTTCAGCTCGCTCGTCAAGGCTGTCTATATTAGCTACTAGCCTAGCACACAAAAAATACCACAATACCACAATTACACTTATTTTATACTACACGTATTATACTTTAACAGTAGCACATTTGTCAGTACTTCAATTCTTTTATTTTAGTTTATGAATACAAAAACACAACCCTTGTCGTAAACCTCAAGAAGAACTACATATTTCATGGCGTGTCCAATCACGTTTGTATTGTAACGCTACTGGAAGTTGTACACTGAAAAAAATGATTATGAGCCCTTTTAAATGTCACATATATTAATCAAGTGTACTTTAATAGAAATTATTGTGTTATTTCATTCTGCTCATTAAATTTAAGTAATTACTACCAAAATTAAAACAAGCTTATTTTACTCAGTTAAATGGAGCTTAAAACGTGTACTTGTTTGCGCATGCTCATTTACATGCCTCTACTGCGCCTGCTCATTAACGACCCGCCAGTTCAAACGCTGCAAGCCATACTACAAGCTATTGCCGTCCTCCACACTTTTGCCGTGTCTCTCCCTCTACATCCTCACTAAGTTGTCCAGGGCTGTCGAATTCAGTTGGTACATACTTTACAACCTTTGGTGTGTGTTATTTAGTTAGCTAGTTTAGTTAATTAGTTAGCTATGGTTCTGGCATGTGTTCTGAATTGGGCAGTTTTACCTTAGCTAGCCAGTTAATATCAGGCTAGTAAACATGTCACCGATATAATATTAGTTAGTCATAGTTCGTTTTGTGACTGTCTGGGTGTCATTTCCTCATGGGGCAAAGCGGGAGCAAAGAGACACAGTGAAATACACGGTACCTTAGCATGCTACAGTCATAGCTCAGTTAACTGGACCGCTGCCATTTGTCCACACGGTTGTGTTATCACTGGAGGTTCTGGAAAACTACGGCGACAGTGGATATGAGTCTTTTTATTTGTCGTCACGCTTTGTACTCAATCAAAGTATACGTGCATGTTGTGAAAATGACTGGAACAATCACAAGCATTCAAGTTTGGGGGTGAGGTAGAGGTCTCGTGCTCAATTTCTGTTTTTTTTTTGTGGGGGGCGGCGGCAGCGGTTGTTGGTTATTACATAGACACAGCGGACATGCGCACACACGCTGAGAGACACATGAAAACTTTTTTTTTTTTTTTTTTTAAGTGTATTTGTAATAACATTATTGCCTGAAATATGTCCACTTCCAGTAAGATTGGTCGCGTTTTCAGTTTGTTAGTGGGACATGTTTCTGGCTGATCTAGTCACAGATAAATATTTAATGGTAAAAGGTGAACTAGTTGCAGGCTTTAGTAATGTTGTAGATTTTGTCACTGATGGTGTCCGTGCTGACTCTAATCTTGCCATTATTGATCAGCTGTCTTGAAAACTTTGCATTGTTTGGGTAAGTACATACATAATCGTTCTAAGTCATTTTAAACAGATATTAAAATTGTATAAATCAGTAAAGCATAAATATTGTGTGTCAGGAGGACAACATTAATTGCTTTATCACTATTTTCGTGACACCTGAGATATTGCTCTTTTTTCATGAGGCTTCCCCGTGGTCGGCAGCAAACAATAAAACATGGACCCTAAGCTTTCGTGGGGTGTTTTTAAACATACCTTTAGGACAGTAACTTTGCATCAGCATGTGTTGATAGCCATACTCCAAGCTCTTCTGAGAAAACCACTTAAGTATAATATTGGTTTCAAAGTTCATGGTCCTGTGATGACTGTAAAAACAATAATGTTTGATTTTTATTATTTTCTTGTCCACTTTTCTCTTTGTCTCTCCAGTTCATGTGGCTGTGTAAAGACTGTGGTGCTGAGGCGTCTAAATGATCAGAAATTCTTAAACATTACAGATTAAGTCATAGTCATTTGGGGCGTGGCCATTGTATTAAGCGTGTGTATCCCAATTGTCCATGCATTTTTAAGACTTGGAATTCACTTTTGACACACTTGTCCATTGTAATGCTTTAAAGCACTCTGACGAATTCACTTTTTCCTGTCAGTTATGTGGTTTTAGGGAACTTGGAAGACAGCGTGATTATTTTGCACATATAACCCAGCATTTGAAAAACCATGAGACAGTTACTTGTATGTTCAAAGACTGTGTTTACAAATCCAATGTTTACAGTACATTCAAGTCGCACAAAAGTCGTAAGCACAGCTTACATTTAGTTGTAGATTTTAAAGACGAAGTTGTCAAAGAAAGTGTTGTGGCTGAAACAGCAGAGCCTGGTGTTCAAGACAATGAAGAATTCAGCGACAGCAGTCAGTCAGATATAAATGCAACAAATGATCAGAAAGATATAGTAGAACAAAAACTTGCAGTCATTAAAACTTGAAAAAAAAAATTTTATGTGCCGAGTGCTGCAATTGATGAATTGCTGGAAGAACTACAGTATTTGTTGAGCACAGCATGTTTGCATAGTACAACAAATGTGATACAAGACACACTAAATAGTTATAGCCTTCAAGTTGACCAATCAGTTATTAAAGAACTTGCATCTGCTTTGTGTAGATCTAATCCTGTGTATAAGTCAATTAGTAAGGGCTGCTCTTTGGCAACATCCTTCAAGCGCAAAAAATACTACAAAGACAATTTCAAAGTTGTGGAACCTATAAAATATATATCGGATGACAAAGGCAAAAGAACACTACAATATTAAAGTTTTTGCAGCAGCTTTTCAGTAGCTGTCTCACTCTTAACAAAGTGTTAGATAATAGTCAATCAGTTGAGGCAGGAACAGAAGTGATATACAGGTCATATAGAGATGGTTAATTTTTCACGGGAAACAGTGTGGATGTGGATTATTATATAGTATATTATCTAAAATAGTATTTTTTTTTCTGTAATATATAAATAAATACTGGATATTTATTAGGTATGGTCATTTATACCATACCTGTGATGCCTCAGTGGAGCTGGTAGCTCCACCCGGAACACCGTTGTCAGCCATCTTTGAATTTGGAACATGTAGCGTTTGGTATAGTTGCCAGATCAAATACTCCCCCGTGTGACGTCACTTCAACACTTTTTTTACTCGTACCCACAAACTTGAATTCGTGTCCACAGAGAGGAGAAGACTTTGTAGTCGTAGAAATTGGAGTTGTACTCACAGGAATTTTCACTCACAGCTTTTAGATTCATACTCACATAAAAACTATTCTAATCCACACAATTTTTCAGACTCACGTATGTGAAACCAGAGTTTTGGGTACAAGATTTTTATTGAAATATAAATATGAATATGAATGTTAGAATCATGCACACACCTTTTTGACAGTTATCTTATTCAATAGTGTAGCGGCTCATGAGAAGTGGTGCATAAAGTGTGCAAAATGAGTCAGTCCTCCATCTTCTTTGTTTTGGGATAGTTTTGTACGGTGGCCCAGAAGTGTAACAACAAAACAAAAGCCACAACACAACACAATAAGCCACAACACTACAAAATTAACCACAACACTACAAAATTAGCTTCAACACTACAAAATTAACCACAACACTACAAAATTAACCACAATACTGCAAAATTAGCCGCAACACAACACAATTAGCCACAACACTACAAAATAAGCCGCAACACAACACAACGGAACTTGTTTTTTTCTTTAACCCGGAAGTTATACTGTGAAGTGTGCAACGCCACACGAAGAAGCCAGAGATTAATGGACACTATTTGTCATCAGTATTTTACTTACTTTCGAGTTGTTTCCAACAATCTTAGTTTTTATGATGAAATATGAATTTCTATAACTAATAGAGTGACTCTGTGTCCAGATATGGATTCATCTGGGTATAAGCTTTCAATAGAGCCCTCACTGACGTCTGTAGGTTCAAGCATTCAAAAGATATTGCACTTTTTCCTTACATTTTCAGTGGTGTCCAATTTGGATAGATGTGGATAAAACAAAAGTCCCTCAATAAAACGCCTGAATATTCCAGTATAAAAACTGGTGTCAAATGATCAATTTTACAGGTATTGTTTTCAAATGTGAAATATGAGTGCAATACAAGTTTACAGTGTGTTTTAGTTCCCACCACCTACTGCTGCTTTATGCTCCTTTATTTTCAAGAAAAGAATTAGGCAAGGATCAAAAAAATGTTTTTTTTTTTGTGATTATTGAAATGGAACAACTTTCTACTGGTAGCACCTAGAATGATTCTGATTGCTGTTGTGAGGATCCTAGACTTTGTTCACTGGGTTTTTGGGTTTTTGTCTGTCTTTGGGTTTTGGTGGGTGTGCCTTTGTTCACTGCAGGTTGGGTGGAGCCGATCAGGGGAGATCGCTGGCAGCTGTGGCTCATCAGCTGTGCCCAGCTTAAATACTGGCGTCTCACAGAAGACCGACGCCAGAGGATTGTGATACCTACCACGGGGTACAGTCAGGCCACGAGCTGCAACACTGCGCTGAGCAATTCTGATGTTTTTCGAGCTTCAAGTTTATAGTATGTGTTTCTCTGCCTGTCTTAGTTCTCCTCCTCGGCTCCAGCACTCAGCATACCTCCAGGCACTCCAGCGTTTGTCACCCACGGGAATTCACGACCACGGACACCTTCACCGGGTGATCCTTCACGAGAGCACCCTCCCACGAGCACCGAACCCTGAGCACCGGACCCCTGCGCACCACCCCGGTTTCCCTCGTCACGGCTCCCTCTCTGCACCGGGAAAACCCCCACGGACCAAGGCACTCTTAGGCACCGGCTCTTCGTGCACCACTCTCGGGACCCCCCTTCCTCGGATCACAACCCCAAAGAACTTCACCCCACCACCTTCCTTAAATAAATCCTGTTTCCTTTAACCCTTCTCCCCGTCTCCCTTTTCGTTTGGGTCCACCCGCACTGTCACTGATCACGAGTCGTCACAGCTGTGGCTAAAACTAGAGAGTGTTGTCTTTACAACAAACGTCAAACTTTATATACACTCCATAAGAGTCAGTAACAGAATTCATTTTAATTTGGAGATGTCATTTTACAGGCGGTTGCATTGAAAGGACAGACTGCCTAGGTTTCTGGAAGAGGCATGCCAAAGTCTTCCCGAGACTCTATCTTGTGGCTATGAGAGTGCTCGCTGTTCCTGCCACCAGTGCACCAGTGGAGAGGCTATTCAGTCACAGAGGCCTAATAATGTGCCCTCACCGAGCCAGGCTTAGTGCAAGGACATTGTCCAGCTTGATCTTTTTGAAATGTCACCATTCTGTTGCCTAATACTTTTCTAGGTCTTACAGTAGGCCTCTAGAAGATACCTACAAGCTTGTTAATGTTTAGCCACTGTATTCAGAGGAAAATACGGGAAACCATTCTGATCTTATTGTAGGTTTATTAGTGTTAAATATTTTGTTCTCGGCAAAACAACACCGTTGACTGTTTCCACAAAAAGTTACTGTTTTATTAGTAAACAAGTCCAGACAGCCAATAACTCCAATGATATTCCTTTTTAAGTTTTACTTTTATGCAAGGAATCCTTTTTGTCATGCAAAGAAATGTGCCTTTTGGAACAAAACTAGTCATGTTTTGATATCACCAGTTTATAGACTTACAGTATTTTTCAGATAATGTGGCAGCAATAGTTTTGCTTTTTTTCTTGTGAACACATTTTTGATCTCCATTCAGGAAAGCCAAAGACTTTGATGGACTTGCACAATACAATTCGCAATGCATTTGGAACTGAAAGAGACTTTTGCATTCAATTTATGGATCCTGACTTCAATAATGACTTTATGAACATTACATCGGTGCACGACATTCAAGATAGAAGTACAATTAAGCTTGTATATGTTCAAAATGCTGGGGGTATGAGTCCATTTTCTTCAAGGCTGAATACGCCAAGCACTCCTGGGTCTTCTGAAAGTTCAGACAACATTCAGTCATCTCACAGTGCATCCTCATTGTCCTCCTCTGACTCAAAAGCCACCACCCTTCTGTCACATTCAGACAGCGAGCTGAGAACACGTGCGTGGCCATGAGAATTCATTATTCCTCGCTTTCCATACGATGTAGAGGTGCAGCTTAAGCGTGGAAATGAGACCTTCAGATAAATTGGCACGACATTGAAGATTACTTCAGGGCTGAAATCTAACATCCTTGAGAGGCTGGCTGAAGAGATTTTCCAGTTTGCAGCATGTCCACAAAATCACCACATGGATGACGTAGCAGAGGCACTTGTCAAAAAATGTCCCTGTTTGCGAGCGACAGCTGCCACTGGTTACTATGGCTGGATGACTAGCCTGAAATATAAAATGGCAAATTACAGGACAAAGATGTGAAATATTGGCTGTCCTTAAGTGACTGTAAATTCGTTGAAAAACAAATCCAGTGATGAATGCCTCCCAGCCAAAAACGTAAAAAAGGCTAAAAAGGCAGAGGTTAACTATTGCCCTTCACACCCTGCTGGCGAAACAGATGAAAGTCTGGAAACTGTGTGAGTTGAACTGTGAGGATCCCAGACTTTGTTTCACTGGGTTTTTGGGTTTTTGTCTGTCTTTGGGTTTTGGTGGGTGTGTCTTTGTTTCACTGCAGGCTGGGCGGAGCCGATCAGGGGAGATCGCTGGCAGCTGTGGCTCATCAGCTGTGCCCGGCTTAAATACTGGCGTCTCACAGAAGACCGACGCCAGAGGATTGTGATACCTACCACAGGGTAACAGTCAGGCCACGAGCTACTGCGCCGCGCTGAGCATTTCCAACATTTCTGTCGTTCTCGAGTTTATGGGATGTGTTTCTCTGCCTGTTTCCAGTTCTCCTCCTCGGCTCCAGCACTCGGCACACCTCCAAGCACTCCAGCGTTTGTCACCCACGGGAGTTCACGACCACGGACACTTTCACCGGGATATCCTTCACGAGGGCACCCCCCCACGAGCACCGAACTTTGAGCACCGGACCCCTGCGCACCACCCCGGTTTCCCTCGTCACGGCCCCCTCTCTACACCAGGAAAACCTCCACAGAGGCACGCACGAGCACCGGACCTCCTCGCACCACCCTCGACACCCCCCACGACCGGCACCCCCCACGACCGGCACCCCTTCACTATATTTCTGCCTCCTGGTGCCCATCACTCCACCACCTTCCCTTAATAAATCCTGTTTCCTTTAACCCTTCTCCCCGTCTCCCTTTTCGTTTGGGTCCACCCGCACTATCACATGAGCACGAGTCGTCACATGAACTTCTGAATGATGTCAGACAAAGAAACAAGGGATATAATGTTAGAGAGAAGATGTCTAAAACATTGTCCTACCGAAGAAAAGAGGTGGTGCAAGGGAATCCAGGTGCTGGAGAGTTTAAATCCAGGTGGCCTGCACTTTTCCAGATTGATGAGGTAAAGACATGCTGTTTTTTAGGATGAGAAAAAATTACCAAACATTTCGTATCTACGACACTTGGTTGTTTAACAACCAAGTGTTGTAGATACGAAATGTTTATTTCTCTTCCTGCATTAACAACTATTAGTAAAGAAACACTCTGAGTACTAACACATTAATTATGGATTAAACCTAAGTTAATGAAGAAAGATATTGATCAATATATATTCAAGGAATATGTTGTATTTTTAATGGATTGTCCTTTCAACAGTGACTGAACGCAGTGCTTTGTCTTGTCATTTTCTTTTGTGTTTAACAGATAAATGCTGAATTCCAGCATATTACAACACGTCCACTTGAGACAGCCTTCATGGCACAGTTGGACAGTCTTCTGCCTTGGCTGACATCCATTTTCCAGAAGAAGGGAGGTGTTGCTGGCCAGAAACTGTCGAAACATCTGCTGATCTTCCAAGAGGTGAAAATGCGCATATAATGTACAAGATTTGTCAAAAATGCACTTTTCAAATGTATGTATATGTGAGTAGTCTTTATGTAGAAGCAGTACTGATTTCTCAGGTGAAACGGTGACGTGAAAGTACCACACCTGCCTTAAAGGAATAGTTGACTTTAAGTAAATTCAGTCACTATCTCCTCCTCCTCGAGCTGAAGAGAAGTCTCCTGTAGTTTTTTTCATGCACAAACCAGGAATGGGAGGTCTCTAGAGATCAGTGATAAAACAGAATTAGATGACCCCTAAAATACTTCAACTGCTCTCAAACTGCTCACCTGCCATCTTTTGTCATTCACACAGTGCATCATGTAGGTGGAACATAGTGTTGTTTTTGGCGGCATGTTTTAAATTTAGCCTTATTCTGGTTTTTGTGTCAATCTCTTATTTTAGTTTTTATTAGTTTTAGTCAAGCTCATCCTTTTTTAGCCCTGTCAAGTGAGTCAACGAAAAGTCTTAGCATTTTAGTCTTATTTTACTCAGAATAATTAATGACAATTTTCGTCTAGTTTTAGTCAATGAAAATTGTATTTTAGTCTCTTTTTAATCATGCAGTTCTATTTAACCCATTCAATGTGGTTTAGACAAAACCAAATTGTTTTTTAGTCAAACTCGTTTCACAATTCAAACAAGGTTATCCTATTATCCTTATAGACTCAAGAGTATGTTCATTCCAGACGATGCTCTGATTTGAATTTCAAATTTCTTTTGGAACCCAGAGAATACAGAATTCAACCAAACATGTTCGTACACACGCATTAAAATAAAATAAATAAATAAAACAGCATTCCGAGGTAGTTGTAAAAGTGCCCCATGGACATAAACTGAGGTTACCATAGTGCTAAACTAGCTTGCTATCACATGACAATACCAGAAAGTATTGTATTCATTCAAGTTTAAAATGAAAAAGAGAAACAATATGCTTGAATAATACAGCTACAGCACAATATAAATAATAAAAAAAAGTGCAAATAAAATATGTGTGCTTGTGACTTCAGTTATCAGTTCAGTCATCAGTTGTCATGTAAAACCTGAAAGAATGAGGCAGTTTCACATTTGATAGATCATTAAAGTTGAGTTATATTAAGCTATCCTTCACAAATGCGAAAGGAAAAATATTTATTCACTGTCATCAAAATACAATGGAACCATTTTGAACTGACTAAAAAATAAAACTGAAGCTGCATTTATCACTTGTGGTCCTTACAAAAAATATCTTATATTTGTGTCACCCCCACTTTTTGTCATTTTGTCCCCAGCACACACAAATCCTTAATGATAGCCAATGTAAACCAGGTTATTTTCTCTAGTATAGAAGATTCAGACGCTCCTGAACACAGCACTTGCATGTTACAGAGAGGGCCATCTAGTCTCGTCTTTTTCTTTTCCTGTGACAATCCCCCTTGTGAGTTAGGCAACTCAAGCCTATGTGATAATTGCTCTCATAAACTTTTTATTCATGACAATGACTTAAAACATGAAATATCCTGCAGATGCATTTTATGATAGCATTACACGCACGCCTCCACATATGATCTGAACGACACACGCACTCTGAACCGAGTCAGGTTAACCAAACTTTTTTTTTTTTTTTTTTTTAAATATATAAACCGTTCCATCCCTATCAGGACTTATTGTATACAGTTTTTGTTTACCAGAGGGTTGTTAATTCAATTATTGTTGTTGAATTTACCAACTTGACTTCTATATCAGAGATTGAGGACAAAAGAACCATAAAGCTAATGTTTGATTCTGGCCTGCTTAGTGACACTCCACCCCCTCCTTACTCAGCTCCTTCTACATCGCGCTGTGGTGATGACTCATTACTTTTAAGTGGCTCATTTGACACAGACATTTTGTCATCCCCTGATTCTGCCACCTCAAGATCATCTGGATGGCCTGTTGTTTTTGTTGTTCCCCGATTCCCATATGATTGTGAGCTGCAGTTGGAAAAAGCCAATGCTGCATTCAAAGCAACTGGATCTTTGCTCGACCCTGACATCAGACTTAAAACTGCTATTCTTGACAGTTTAGCTGAAGCAACTGTGCAGCACAAAGTGTACCCCACTGATAGTGAGTTTGAAGAGGCAGCAGAAGCCCTTGTATCATCACATCCTTGTTTAAGAGAACCAGGATATGTTGGCTGGAAAGTTAGTTTGAAGTATAAACTTGTCAACTACAGAAAGAAGCTCAAGCGGCTTGGATGCCCAGAGGTCGAACTAAATTCCTTAACAAATAAACCTGCAGGCAAGAGCAGTCCTGCTTACGGTGTGAAGAAGCCCAGAAAAGCTGAGGTGAATTACTGCCCCTCCTACCCATCAGGTGAATCTGCAGAGACACTTGAAAAGATAAGAGAGGCCCTAATTTCAGAGGCAAAGAAAAGGAACAATGAGGACACAGTGGCAGCAATGATGGCCAAGACCTTTTCTCATCGAAGGCAAGAAGTTCTTCGAGATGCACCCATGATTGCAGTTTTTAAAACCAGATGGCCAGCTCTCTTCAATGTGCGTGAAGTAACTGAATAAGTGACTAAAGTATGTTCATATTTTAAATTAAAAAATAGTTTGGAAACTTTTTTTTTTTGTTATTCCTCCCTTGTAATAATACTAATTGATGTTGTATCATATATCGTTTCAAGCCTGATTTGTCACCTTTACAACAAGATAGAACATAAGGATTGTGCTTCTGTGGAATGAGCAATACAGCTAAATGTGTAGGTAGAACCCAAAAAATGTTTCCAAACAATTTTTCCAAGATTTGGTGGAAAATTATAATTGTTAAACTAATTGGTAGTTTCAGTGCATTGATAGTTACATTTCTCTGTACCCATTTTTGTGTCAAGTTATGTGCTGAGTTCCAGAGGATAACGACAGTCGGTTTGCTGCCAAAGTTTTTCTCCGATCTGGATGCTCACTCATTAAAACTGCTCAAGGTCTTTGGCAAGAAGGGTGGTGCTCAGGGAAGAAAGATCAAGAGCATCCTGATGCCCATGACCCAGGTAAAACAAAAGGGACAAACTGCCAAACACATCACTGTAAAGTTGACATTTTAAGTAGCTTGCCCAACACTGCTCACGAATTTAAAAAAAAAAAAAAAACTTTCCCAGGAATTGTTCAACAGGTACATCTTTGATGCTCAGTGTGCATCAACTCATAAAGCATCACTAACTAAGACTGACAGACTGCATTTTTTAACCACTTATATTGTGTTAACTCGTGCTACTTTTTAAAATCATCATTTCAGCACAGAGGACTTAAAGAGGGGTTTCACTGCTCTGCTGAAAATCAAGTTACACCATCAAACTATGTAGCGGCAAGGTGAACATACAATGAAGTTTGTGGTCCACGTCCAAAGAAAACAGACAAAAAAGGACACTCTTAGTCCTAGTCACTCAAAAGAGGAAATCCCTCAACAACCTGAATGCTTTGAAACCTGTATTCAATGCTGCTACCTGGGCCGCAGCTGTCCTTGACATCTGTGAAGACCTTCAAAAAATAACAAAAAATGAAAGTCTTTTGAGTAGTTTCCCTTTTTAAAAACGATGGAAGCCTGTTCAAAACAGGTGAAGTCAACTAGTCCACCAAAGCATGGTGCTCACACAAGCATGAAACCCACTGTTGGTTTTGTGGAGTGACAATTGTAAAGAGGTTATTAAGAGACCCATATTCTTATCTGTTTCGACGATGAACAGAAAAGCAGCATTTCTTTTCGCCATTCCACTCCAAGCTAAAAAAACGAAGAAGAAAAAATGGACACTGATGGCTGGAAGATGCATGTCATCTTTACGTTTTACAACAGTCTTATTCAATTGAAACTGTTAAAACTGATCTCTTGACAGCATCCTGTGTGGGATTGGATATAGGAGCTGTTGAAAGTGGAAGAACTAAAAGTTATGTCTTGCCAGAAATCGTTTAACAGCCAGATTTCTGATAGTTCTGGCTGTCACTCAGACATCTTGATGTCCTTCCCGCTGCACTTCAAAAGACAACCAATCTGTCAGCATTCTGGCCGTTTTGGCAATCGTCCATCCATGACTTTGGCTGCTGTAAATGTTTAGTTTCTCGCCCCCTTATTTCTTGTCACACACACTTCAAAACTTATTTAGCACTCCATCAATCTTGCCTTTACAGTACGACAGCTAGACAGAAGTTACTCTTGAGTAAAAGAGATCCCGCCTGGAGTCGGCCAAACAGCATTTAAAGGGCATGCTGAAAAAGATTCTCTGGTCTGATGAGTCGAAAGCTGAACCACTTGGGCAAGAAGTCTAAGCCTTAATCATGTCCGGCCAAAACCAGACACAGCTCATCATGTGGCTAATACCATCAAACAGTGATGCATGGTGGTGGCTCCATCATGCTTCGAGGGTACTTCTCAACAACAGAGACACACAGACTTGTCAGATTTAAGAGATAGAATTAATGCAGCTAAATACAGAGAGGTTCTTTAAGAAAGCTACCCCCATAGTACATGCAACCTGAAACTAGGGCAATGGTTCACCTTTCAGTATCACAACAACATGAACCTAACAGCCAACACAATGCTGGAGTGCCTTCAGGGCAAATGTCAGCCAAAGCCCAGACATAAAATCCATAACAACATCTGTGGAGATACCTGAAGATGGCAGCTCACAGATGTTTCTATACCAGGAAGAATGTGATAAATGTGTAACAGTTGCTAAAAGCAGCATCATTTAAGAATTAGGAATTTTTAAGAGATTTCAGATTTTTTTGGTTTTAATGATTTTGCAAAAATATTGGGGAAAAAATGTCACTATGTCATTACGGGTAACTGAGTGTAGACTGATGGACAAAAGTTAATTTTATTGATTAGAATTTCATTTCAAAATGCAATAAAGCACGCAAAAATTTGAAGTCTGGATACTTTCTAAAGTGAATGTATACCTCAGGGGAAATGTTGGAAAGCTATTAAGATCTAACAAAATAGATACCACCTAAATCAGGATTTTAAGGAGGAGAAATAGTTGCCTTCTCACCTGAGCATGTGAGGCAAAGCAATGGAAAACAGATTTAATCCCTTTGTTATTTCTGATTATCCACTAGCTGAGGGCATATTCATATTCATTAAGCCATTTTTTGATGGATGACTGAAATTTCAGCCCATTTTACCAGATCCATATAAGGATGTCAAACATCATTTTTCCTGCTAAAAAGAAAGAAAGAAAGAATAGGTAAGAACAGATTCAATCTTCCCCCACAAAATGAAATTATGCAAAGTCAAACAAGTACCTGCATAATAAGTTTAAAAAGACCCACTTGTGCCCTTGGCTGATTAAAACAATCAGCTTGAATATCGGCAGACTCTTCTGAATCACTGTGGACGGTGGGAGGAGGAGGCATTGCTAACAAAAAGGCTGCACTCGGGATGACAGTCTGCCACTACCAGGATTACAGCCTATCAGACATGCTCATCAGCAGAGGTCAAGAAACAAAGCCCTGTGTAAAGCAATCTGCTGTAATTAAAGGACAAGAGATGATATTCTTTCTTTCCCACCCTTTCTCCATATTCTTCCTCTGTGCTGTTTCTTGTCAGCAGAATTCTTCAAGGTCAAGGGTCTGTTGTTAGAAAACATTAAGTATGATATCTGTTTGCTGGCTGGGGTACAAATGACAGATGAGTCAAAATGAAATAGTCTCAGGTTCAGGTTACAAATTTAAATGTAATCATGGTAGAAGTAGAACTGATGTTATTCAGAGATGGGATGCTTTTGAGGACATCCCAATGTTTTAGGACAACATCAACTGCAGTAGCAGCTATATTGTGTTTGTGGTTAAATATTGGTATGGTCTGATATGACAAAAAAAAAAAAAAGTGCTTTAAACATTAACATATCTGGATGAAAGTCTGCAGTAAGTACACAAAACATTCTGTACAGGCTGACCGCAGCTCCTCACATCATTAAGAATCTAGAGTATAGAAAAAAATATCTACCTTTCTCCTTGAGGTAGTGATATCTTTAACTCACTGTTCTGCAGACAGTCGTATTGGATCTCCGCTTTTAACACATTGGAGCCCTCTGGCATTATTGAAGAACAGAGTTTGTCATGTTTCCTCTAAATTGTCGGATTTGACAGATATTTTGAGCAGTACGTTTGCACCTTTTATCCTTGTGACTTTAAGAGAAATTTGTTTTGGTTCTGACATGATGTTAGTCCCACTGACAAAATGAATTGTTTGACTTGTCAGGTTTTTCCTGGATTGCCACATTTGACAGATGTTGGGGATGTGGCACTTTGAACATAGTTTCAAATCTACTGGATGATAAATCCAAGGGAAGCAGTTGCCCTCGTCGAAAGTATCCAGCAGCACATGGTTTCGGGTGAATATATTTGTTTGTCTCATGCCTTGTCCACTTTCACTCTGACAAAGAAACTTTAGTCTCCATGCACAATAAAAAGGCTGTAAATTGAGTAGTGTGCTCCAGCACCCCTCTTTGTACTCGAGAATTGCTACAAAAGCTAATCATTGCATTGATGGACATGTTCTACAAAATAAATAACTTTTGAACCATTTATAAGAGAGAAGAGCTTTAATTGTGTCTGAACTGTGGAATTCTTAGCTTGAATGGAGCCTCTACAACAGAGTCAATTTATCATGTTGAAATCACCTGATACAGTAACAGAATGAGACTGTCAGAAAACGCAACTGCAAGACAGCTTTTTTTTTGTTTGTTTTTAAACAATAGAACCAACTTCACTCCCAGTCAGCTATTTACCCTACTTGCACTCTGCCTAACTACCACCTACTTCAACTACAGTGAGGGTTTCTACAAAGAAAAGCTGTGCCAGTGGTTCTCCAGAGTCAAACTCTACACGTCAATGTCAGTCTTCAGTGGGACCAATCTCTACAAGGAGGAAATGGGAAGCAAAGCAATGACATCTTTCAAGGGAACAACATTCAGATGACACCTGGGTCTAAATCAAAGCCCAAGAAGTGGAGGCCTTCATCAAACATATCAGCTCAGGGGATTGCAGCATCATATCAGGGGCAAAGCACTGGAAAGCCAGTTACCCAGCACTGATGATAAATACACTCCCAAGTACTCAGCTGAAATGTCTTTAATTTAATGTCTTTTCTTAATTAGTATGACAAAGTATGTGACATTTACTCAAATTAGGTGAAAAAGTCTTAGTTGCACTCAATACAAGTCAGACTAGATTTTAAATCTGGTACCATTTTAGCGTGCCGTTGCCATGCACTCTCTTCCTGCATATGTGTTACGACTGGCTTTTAGGCCTCAACAAAGGAGAAAGGTGCACAGAGAGGTTTTACTGAAATCAGAAGCAATGTATTTAGTAAAAGCAAAAACAATGAGGTGTGGTAGTCAGCACTGGTGGTGAAATCAAACTTAACACAAAGAGCATGGATGGCTGAGTGTAACAAAGAGCTCTGGCTCAGCAGGCCAGCTTTTATAGCCAGGAAAACTGGTCAGGTGAGCTAACATTGAAAGCACAGAGACAGAAATGTGCTTTTTTTTCATATTTTACAATGCTGCACATACACCTGGATCTGCTAGCTTTCAATCACTGTGGAACTAGGTGCACATGCACACGCCTCACTACTATTCCAACAGAAATACTTTATGTATTTTTAGCGATTTAACTTTGGTTTTTCTGCAATCTTTTTAATATTTTAATTTCACACAGCTGTATCACATTTGTGCAGGAACAGTGGAGATGCAGATGGCGTTTTTGTTTCTGTTCTTTGCTTTGTAGTTTTTGGGGTCTGCGTCTGGCGAGCCGTTGAGCCGTTGAACCATGGCTCTATTGTTTTTACACTTGTGATTAGCTGTTGGTGCTGAGCCAGGTCGAGCCACCATAGTGGAAGAGACCGGACATCCCTGATGAGCTCCACAGGAGGAAGAGGGGATGCAGGGCAGGAGTGAAGCGTCAGGAGAAGAAGAGACGCTTCAAGCCGTCAGTCCGTCCATTATCATAGAAACGTGAGGTCTCTTCCTAACGGGCAGCTAACAGCACTGAC